AGAAGTCTGCAGGAGACAGACATCAAGCTGAGTGTAAGCCAGGAGGCTGAATCATTGTTTTGTTTGATGGTGGATACCCCTGTGTGGGAAACTTCTGTTTTGAACTTTCGTTTAAATAAAAGTGGGCTAAAAAGGCCCTGAAAAGAAAGCGAGTAGCTGTGTGCGTTTAAAAGCTCTACCACGATGAAGCGAGTTCCCACATATGGTGGAGGATGCGGGCAGAATTGGAGATCCCGGCGATTGAAGTAAGTTCTTCAGCTATATGAACTGTTTGGTGCATAAGTCTGCACTATCTGTGTGTGCAGGTGAGGAGAACCTGCTAGAGAAAAGGACTTTGCCTTAAAGAGACAGTGTTCCATGTTGTTGCTGAACTGTGTAACACACTGCTGTGTGCATGACTGCAAAGATGGGGCGGTCAAAACAGAAAAAGGAAGCAATGTTTGCTGAGATGAGAGATAGAGCCCTGTGGCTAGGGGGTTATATACCGCATGCCCCAGCCAAGCCGGGAAATTTAGATGTGGGTGAGTCTGCTGTGGACTGGTGCAAGCGGCACCTGGCAGCATTGAACCAACCTACAGAGGAAAGCAAGCCAACCTTCAGTGCAAGGAGAGAGCTGCAGGATGTCCGTACCTGGGAGAGGGGTGTTGTTGCCCCTGGCAACGCTGCTGCAGTTAAACCAGTAGCTGTTGTGAAAAATGTGAATGTGTCATGGCTTGAGAGTTGGTCCAGCAGAGAGAAGCCTATGCTATGTGCAAGAAGAGGGGCTGACCAGAGGCCAGGACCAAGAGTGAAGGCCCATAGCAACACAGAGGAGGCCAGTCGGGCTGTCTGTGTACAGGGGGCTTTGTCCTATAAGGATCATGGCAAGTGGTATCAAGAGGAGCCAATACAGCGTGTTAGCCAGCAAAGTTCTGCTTGGAGAGTGCAATCTCCCATGGCGACCGGAGAAAAAATATTGCCTGGAAGGAGGAGCTGCATTGGAGATGTGGCTCAGTATCCCAATAAAGAGAAGTGTAGAAATATACCCTGCGTGGAATGTGGTCAGTGGGGGCATGGGATCTTTTACTGTCCCAGACTCTGGAATACTGCTGATACTGCGCAAATGTCTACAACTGCAAGTCCAGAGTCTTGTTTTAAATGTCAGCAACCACCTCTGGCAACAGAGAGGAAGTTCCTGTTGGGCCTCCAGGGGGTGCCAGAGAGTCCATGGAGCCTATGAGGGCATCTGTTACTTCACCTTGGGGCAAGGGAAAAGTTGCCAAGAAAAGTGCAGTTGAGGATGCGTTTTATGAGACAACGCACTCAAATGAAGATGGTGACACCTACTACTGTGGGTGGGTAAGACTGTGTGTGATAAAACCATGGCTGGGACTGTCATGTTGAGAAGGACTGGTTATGAGACTGTCCATTCTGATGTAGGAGTGACCCCAGTTAGTTGGGCCACTGAATGTGCTTTTGAGAATGACTTTTCCCTGTGCAGTGCCTTGTACAGTGGGGAGGTAGGAATTAAAGTAAAACCTGTGCATGGTTCTCAAAAAGCAAGTGATGTCACTAATGTGTGCCAGTCACAGGTTGGCAGTAGGCTAGTACAGCCCACAAGAGCTACAAATGATGATGTTGATGTGAAATGTTCTGCTGTTGGGAAAAACCCTGAGCTCTTGCAGTGCAAAAGCTGTAATTAAAGATGGGTTATTTCCCATAGCAACTGGTGGTAAGACAGCACAGGTGTCCTTAGACATCTCCAGAGGTCTCCGTGTATTGGAGCCGGAGGTTGCCCGGGACAACTGCGATGTCACTCTGGTGGAGCAGAGTGGAACTGCACCTTGTCATAGGAGTGTGTTGGTGCAGCCTAACAATACTGAAAGTGTTCAGGTTAACAGCGGGTTAATGCAGCCTGGCAAAAATGCAAGTGTGTGGGTAATTCAGGAAGCGCCACCAGAGCAAAGTGGTGGATGTGAGGTATTGCAACCTGCAGTGGGAAAACTAGGTGTTACCCAAGTCTGATGTGATCCAGAGTGATTTGTGCATTGGATCTGCAACTAAGCCCGTCTATTCTTGTGTGTCTCCTTGGGCGGATGGATCGGTGCTGAGGAGCACTGACAAATTGAGCACATATACAATGGATTGGGATAGTTGGGGTAAAAGGCTAATTTCATTGATAGATGAGGTTTTTATGAAAAAAAATAAGGTGGACACTGTTTCTGCTGTGCCAGCAGGAGGATCTATAGAACAGCCTATAGATAAGGGCGTGCATACAGCAGAGACTTTGTCTGGTGACCCACAAAAGTGATGTTGGCATGGAGTGTCAAAATGATGTTGTCACTGGGAATGATCAGGGGCAGCTTGTGGATGCTGAGTCTGAGATGTTGAGAGTGAGCCCAGCACATGGCAGCGCTCTGGTGGAGCACCAGGCTGTGGTTATCGCCAGCTTGGAGGAGGTCCCTTTAAAAATTTCAACTTCTCAAGTCTCAGCAGGTGAGTCTCTCAGCGTTCCCAGTGCCCTAAATATGGTCAGGAAGGTCTTAGGTTTAGAGTCAAGTGTTGGGTTGTAACCAAAGTATTAAAGGAGATGCTTGAACTTTGGAATGTACAACCAATGTATATTGAGGTGTCTCCTCCACAGTCGGATGGTCTGGTACTGCGGAGTACCACTAGGTGGAGCACCAAATGGCTGGCTGTACATATCAAACGGGAACAAGAAAGTTGTTTGTTTCGAATTTGTTGATGGTGTTAAAAGTTGTATCAGGGTATGCTGCTGGACTACCTGTAAATGTATTTGAGAGAAATGTTTTGGAGAAATGGAAAATGAGTCAAAAAAGTTTCACCTCCTAACAGCCAGGTGGGAAGCATTTCTGCTGCTATGGTCCAGGATGGTGCTGGTCAGTTGTCAGTTAAGGGCGTGTTTACTGCACCATTGGACAAACCACATGAGATGGAAGGGCCGAGCATGGACCAGAGAACAGCAGAGATCCTGACCAGGGCTCAAATGGATGTGCATCAAGAAATCAGGGTCATTGGGCCAAAAAGAGGTTTATGTAGCAGGTCTGATAAGACATCTGACATACAGGGACAAATGGTATCTGAAAACTGGCAAAATGGATCAGAAGAGAGCTCATCTGTACAGGATTTGTATACAGATCCAAGTGGCGTAGAAAAAGTTAAAATGGTGGGACAGCCGCTTGCAGATTGCATGACGCCAGGTGAAGTGGCATTTTGTGAGGTTCACGTGGGTGATGGCTGCCCTATGGTGTGTGTGCCCTCTGCAGACACTGTCCTAACTAAGGCTGGAAAAGATATTGAAAGGTGTAATATTGACTGGAATATAACTGTTCATGGTAAAAACTGAATGCTGTGGTAATGAGTCCTGCAGCTTTGATAGCTAAAGATACAAGAAATCAGGGGGTGGTCCTGGTACAAATACAGTAGAAATAGTTCCCTACAGCCTTGGGACAGTAATACGGAGAGAGGTATTAGGATAACCTTTGAACCTGAAGCAAAGGGGCAGAAAGGTCAATAGAAAGGCCAGGGGGACCCCGTTAAGATCTCAAGAGAGAAAGTGTTTATGGAAGTGCACCCGGAAAAAGAGTAGGCAAGGTCTAATTAGAGCCCATAGCAGAGTGACAATGGGGCTTGGGGAGAGACACCAAAGGAGTCATTGGGTAGAGTTCCCCTTTAGGAAAGGTATGGTTAGACCAGATTGGACCCCTGTAAGTGAGAGCTGGCACAGAGGTGCCAGAAGAGAAGTTGTGTGTTCTGCCCCCTACGGGATCAAAACAAAGGGGGGGGGGGATATGTGACAGTGTGGCGATCTGTCACCCAGGATTCTCAACTAGGCAGGTTGAGGGGCTCCAGGGTAAGTGTTTGATACGGAGGAAAGTGGCTTTTCACTTTCCTGCTTTGTTTGTAAGGTCTGTTTTGGGATCTGGAGCCTGGAGATTTCAAAGAGATCTGGGAGGGATGAAATCTCCAATCCTGGGACCAGGTTTTGGGAATGGCCAGGAGACTGATTGCACAAGTGTGTGCAGGCCTTTAGAGAGCGTCAGGACCAGGGTTCTGGGCTCCACCCCGGCAGATAGGAGTCAGGAGGACTCCACCTGGAAGACAGGAGTCAGGTGGGCTTCACCTAGGAGAGGTGGAAGCCAAAAGCAGCAAGGGGCTGCTAGAGACTAGCTGTGTGCTAGTGGCCATAATTCTTGAAGAAGTCTGCAGGAGACAGACATCAAGCTGAGTGTAAGCCAGGAGGCTGAATCATTGTTTTGTTTGATGGTGGATACCCCTGTGTGGGAAACTTCTGTTTTGAACTTTCGTTTAAATAAAAGTGGGCTAAAAAGGCCCTGAAAAGAAAGCGAGTAGCTGTGTGCGTTTAAAAGCTCTACCACGTTGAAGCGAGTTCCCACAATATATATACACTGTAAATATATATATATATACACACTGTAAATATATATATATATATATATATATATATATATATACATATACACACACACATATATATAAATAAATATATTTTGAAGGTTTTCACATGCAGAGGCCGCAACGCTTCACATTATATGTTCTATGTATTATATGTTATATGCCCAAATGATAGGTGGCAACTCCTGTCCATATTGATCACTTAAGTCAATGGGGTGTCGCTGTAATGGCTTGCAGTTGCGGTGCATTAGGCTCAGTATAAACGGCTGCAGATTGGCCGCAGATCATTTTTAAAAGCTTTGGCTCATGTGAACCACTCCTTAGGTAATAAAGTGAAAGAGCTGATATTTTAAATGGACAAACAGCTGTGTGTGGATGTATAACATCTTTTAAAAAAGAAGGAGGCAATGAAATAAAATTGAGGTGTATGAAACAGGTGATCACAACTTCACAAAGGTGAATTAGGGTTTAAGTAAGAAGCTCTGACAATGTATTCTTCGATGAACTCTACAAGCAATTGAACCAGTAATTTTGTATTTCGTGTAATCCTTGAAGAAAGGTAGGTACTGTTCTTGTTTATTCAGCCATGAAGCTTTTATTATCTCTAACCCTGCTCCATCTTCCATTAAGGCCCATTTACACGTACTGTGTGTGTAATGGTAAGCACCTCTTCACACCATACCAAAGGCGGACTGACAATTCATGGGGCCCCTGGGCAATAGGGGATCATGGGGCCCCTGTGTCCTTGCCCAAACTCAAAAAAGCCTATGAAAAAGGTGCCAGGGGCATCTCATGGGGCCCCCAGGCAATAGAGGATCATGGGGCCCCTGTGTCCTTGCCCAAACTCAAAAGAGCCTATGAAAAAGGTACCAGGGGCATCTCATGGGGCCCCCGGGCAATAGGGGATCATGGGGCCCCTGTGTCCTTGCCTAAACTCAAAAAAGCCTATGAAAAAGGTACCAGGAGCATCTCATGGGGCCCCCGGGCAATAGGGGATCATGGGGCCTCTGTGTCCTTGCCCAAACTCAAAAAAGCCTATGAAAAAGGTACCAGGGGCACCGCATGGGGCCCCCTACTGACCCCGGGCCCTCGGGCAGTGCCCGAGTTTCCAAATGGTCAGTCCGCCCCTGCACCATACTGTACTTTTGCAGGTGTGTGCATTACCAAAATGCATGTCAACGCAGGCTAAAAACGCCAGTGCAATATTCATGGTGCCATACACCATTTTTAGACAGCATATCTGAAAAAAGCATTGGGGTGCCTTTCAGAATGATTGACATTGCACTGCACCATTCAACAAGCATGGCTGCACACGTTCACTTGAATGGGTCATGTTTGGTGGTGGTTCTGTCCAACAAGCATGATGGGGGGTATACATCCATGGCATATGTGCATCCCTGAGTGGCTGCATGCTATCTATTAGATGGGCGGTCAGGGGTGTTAAAACCGTGGCTCAACAATTTTTGTAAATAATATTTAATAATAATGATCAAAGTTTACCCTAGGATTATACTATGAGCATTAACAGCATACCCGCTGCTGTATAGCAGATATACTGCTACATGGCGGCACAGCTGCTCAAAGTCACGTATAAATACATGATTTTGCATTTCTAGATAGAGGGCGAGAGCGAGCCGCGCCGCCATCTGTGGCCGTCAGTCACCGGGTCCCGGCCAGTGATTACCCACCGGCGCCCAGTGATTACCGACAATCACAGACGGGGAGAAAGACTGTTTTGTTTACAAACAGTCTTCCTCCCTGTCAGCTCAGGCACACTGCTGTGGATGGCTGTGCACAGTACAGCCATCCTGATCAGTGTGCTTACAGTGAAGCATGCCCCCCCTGCTCCCTAGTAAAACACTGCCTACACACAGTTAACCCTTTGATCGCCACTCACATTAACCACTACCTGCCCAGTACCATTAATACAGTGTCAGTGCTGTTTTTTTTGCACTGATCACTGTATTGGTGTCACTGTCAGTGACACAAAGTTAGTTCCCCCCCAGTGTCAGAACGCCCGCTGCAGTCCTGCTAAAAGTCACTGATCGCCGCCATTACTACTAGGGAAAAAAAATCCCAGTATCTATACTGCCATTTGTAAATGCTATAACTTTCACATAAACCAATTAATTTACACGTATTGTGATTGTTTTTTTAGCAAAGACATGTCACAAAATACATTTTGGCCTAAATTTATGACAAATTTGACTTTTTTACATTTTTAACTTGATATGTTTAATAGTAAGAAGTCCAAAATATTGCTTTTTTCTCAAAATTGTCAGTCTTCTTTTGCTTATAGCACAAAAAATAAAAAATGCACATGTGATCAAATACCACCAAAAGATAGCTCAATTCGTGGAAAGAAAAAGGACATAAATTTAATCTGGGTGCGGCGTTGCATGACCGCGCAATTGTCAGTTAAAGTAACGGTGCGCCGTAACGCAACAAATGGCCTGGTCAGAAAAGGGGTAAATCCTCTGGAGGGCAAGTGGTTAAATAGCCATATAACACATGTACCCAGGGGCGGACTGACCATTTGGAAACTTGGGCACTGGGGTCAGTAGGGGGCCCCATGAGATGCCCCTGGTACCTTTTTCGTAGGCTTTTCTGAGTTTGGGCAAGGACACAGGGGCCCCATGATCCACTATTGCCCGGGGGGCCCATGAGTTGTCAGTCTGCCCCTGCAGTTGCTGGTTATTGGCTGCACTTTCCTCATGCTGTCACAGTAATCGGCATATCAGAGGACATCAAGGCAGACCCAAAGGGACATCAGTGCAGACCCAACAGTGTTGGCTCGGATTACCGAGCGAACAACGTTTTTGATTTTCGGATGAAAAATTGTTCAGAATTCGAACCATGTATGGCCTGCATAACTCACTGAAAATAAGTAATGTCCCTTGTGTTGATATATTTTTTTTCTTTTAGGAAAACTTAGCCTTTAACTACTAGGCTACAGGGCACTTATACCCCCTTCCTGCCCAGGCCAATTCCAGCTTTCAGCGCTGTTGCACTTTGAATGACAATTGCGCGGTCATGCAACACTGTACCCATATGAAATTTTTATCATTTTTTGGTGACAGAGCTTTCTTTTGGTGGTATTTAATCACCTCTGGGTTTTTTATTTTTTCTTAAACAAACCAGAAACCACTGAAAAAAAATTTTTTTTAAATGTTTTTTCTTAGTTTTTGTTATAAAATTTTGTAAATAAGTGATTTTTCTCCCTCACTGATGTGCGCTAATGAGGCTGCACTGATGGGCACTGATAGGCTGCACTGATGGACACTGATATGTGGCACTGATGAGGAGGCACTGGTAGGTGGCACTAATGGGCATTGACAGGCATCACTGATGGGCACTGAAAGGCAGTACTCATATATGGCACTGATAGGCGGCACTGACTGGCACTGTTAGCTGGCACTGACAGGTGGCACTGATAGGCAGCACTGACTGGGCACTGATAGGCAGCACTGACTGGCAATGATAGGCAGCACTGATACACACTGATGGGGGGCACTGACTGGCACTGATAGGCGGCAATGACTGGCACTGATAAGTGGCACTGATTCGCAGCACTGATAGGTGGCACTGACTGGCATTGATAGGTGGCACTGACTGGCACTGATGGGTGACACTGAAAGGCAGCTCAGATGGGCACTGAAATGTGGCACTGATTGGCACTGGCAGGTGGCATGGATGAGCACTGAGAGCTGGCACTGATGGACACTGACAGGTGGCGTTGCTGGGGCTACACAGATCATCAGGGCACACTGATCATCAGTGCTTTGATGATCTGTGTACATGTCCCCTCCGAGGAATGCCGATTACCGGCTCTCCTCTCCTCTCGTCAGTGTGACAGCTCGTGGGGAGAGAAATGCCGATAACCGGCATTTCCGTATTTACATGTGATCAGCTGTGATTGGACACAGCTGATCACATGACCGAGCCAACATCTTCGGCTCTTTCCGTGGATCGGTGATCCGCTGTGTCCGAGGGACACAGCGCACCGCCAATCGCCGCGCTCCGGGAGCCGCGCATGCCCGGTTAGAATGGGAGGACGTCCTATGACGTCCTCCCAGAACGAGAGAACCGCCTTGCGTCCATCATATTACTATATGGCGGACGGGAGGCGGTTAAAAAGATTAAAATACACGCATTGTAATTGTACATGATCTCCATCAGAGGTGCATGCGAGAGGGTAATAACAAAGCACAACTGAGAGACAGCTGTCAAGTCAAAAGGGGAAGTACCAGAACAAGGACCTTCATGGAAGGATTACCACTATTTTCAAAAAAAGGCGCAAATTAAAAAAAGATTAAAACACAATTTCTGTAATTGATTAAACATGTGAAAGCTTATATGAATTTTTAGTGATTGGGTTTAGATCCACTTTAAGGCCAACTATCCGCACAGATATTGTCTTGCCTTCAGCCAGTGCGGGTTTCATAAATTTCTTCCCATAATGTTTTTCGCTTCCGCTCCACAATGATCTGGCCATCTACAAGACTGAGCATTCCCATTGAGGCTCTCTAATCCTGGAGTGAAGAAAATACAAGACTAATTCATGGAAGATGTCAATCTAGGGATAACACGGGGAAACGGCCGGGATGACAGACGCCATCCGAAAACCATCAGCTGAAAAGTTCAAGCTTGAACCGCGCACTTCACCTAGCCCAATTTAATTCCCTGCCAATCTGCCGCTCAAGGCCAGCTTTTCCTCCGCTCTGTAAGAGGCCATAAAGAACCTCTGCAGACAATACAAAGATATAAAACCTAATTCATATGGAGGGATATTGAGGGACTCTAAAATAGAAAGTCCCCAATTACCAGCCAGATAAGTAGCAGGGATTTATGGTATCGTATCTGCTGCAACAAGCTCCAAAAAAAATGCCTTTATAAGCCACTTATTTTTATCTTGTCATTAGAATTTTTTTTTGGTGGGAAACATTTGTGTGCTTCTCCTGAAATACCCTAAAGGCAGAGCAGGCTGCTGTCAGCTGCACATCCAAGTAATTAAAATCCTTAAATAAAGACTATTATTTCGGCTATCGCTCATACACATCTCAGCCTGCGCAGCTCTCTGCCCAGAGCCAGAAAAACAACGGAGAAAACCTTGCTTTTAAAGGTTACTGTCCAGAACATGATGCCGCAACCCACAGCAACTGGATCGGCTGTCATTTCCAAAATATTGTTTATAAAATGGAAAGCAATGTGATTGGCTGCTGATCCAATGCTGATTTTCTTGCCTTTTTTTTTGGTCATGCTTACCGCCACAATACAAAGAGGCCAGATGGACCACTTACGAGCCTCCTATCCGACGAGTACGAAACTTACTGCATGGGTATAATAAATCTAATCATTAAAAATGGCTGCTCAGATTAGAGTTTAAAGTGTAAGTTCACCTTTTCAGAAGAAATGAAAAGGTGAAATGTATTTATTTATTTCAGGTACTTATATAGCGCCGTCAATTTACGCAGCGCTTTACATACATATATAGTGTACATTCACATCAGTCCCTAACTCTCAAGGGGCGTACAATCTAAAGTCCCTAACTTACATTCATACATACACATACTAGGGACAATTTTTTAGACAGGAGTCAATTAACCTACCAGCATGTCTTTGGAGTGTGGGAGGAAACCGGATTACCCACAGGAAACCCACGCAGTCACAGGGAGAACATTCAAACGCCAGGCAGGTGGTGCCGTGGCTGGGATTCGAAATAACACCGTATACCCTATCCAACCCCCCCCTCAGTCTCCATTCTACTTACCTCTGTGGGTGTTGAGCTGGCAGTTGGCGTAGCAGTCCAAGGATTTGAAATCCCCGCTCATCTTTCCCTTCATTTGGTAGGACTTCTGGGACAGATCAGTGATTCTGATTGGTCAGCGCCGGGATGGTTGCATGCACATTGACAGCTCATCACCCACCGAGGTAAGTACAGAAAGGATTTGGGAGTGGAGGGTGCAGGGGGCCTGGTTAAACATTTTTTTTAACAATGTTTAATACCACTTTAGAAAATATTAACCCCTTCCCACCCAGGCATCCCTTTAAATAGTTCTGAATGCCTGGGGAGGTGGAAAGGATTGGCGACTGTGTGACCGTATACCCTCTCCAACCCCCCCAGTCCCCACTCTACTTACCTCTGTGGGTGATGAGCTGGCAGCCAGAGTAGCGGTCCAAGGATTTGAAATCTCCTCTCATCTTTCCCTTCATTTGGTAGGGCTTCCAGGACAGATCAGTGATTCTGATTGGTCAGTGCCGGGATGGTTGCATGGACATTGGCAGCTCATCACCCACTGAGGTAAGTACAGAAAGGACTTGGGAGTGCAGGGGGCCCGGTTAACATTTTTGTTTTTCGACGTTTAATACCACTTTAAGAAATATTAACCCCTTTCCGCCCACCCAGGCATCCCTTTAAATAGTTCTGAATGCCTGAGGGGGTGGAAAGGATTTGCGACTGTGTGACCGTATACCCTCTTCAACCCCCCCAGTCCCCACTCTACTTACCTCCGTGGGTGTTGAGCTGGCAGCTGGCATAGCGGTTCGAGGATTTGAAATCCCCACTCTTCTTTCTCTTCATTTGGTAGGGCTTCCAGGACAGATCAGTGATTCTGATTGGTCAGCGCCAGGATGGTTGCATGGATATTGACAGCTCATCACCCACCGAGGTAAGTACAGAAAGGACTTGGGAGTGGAGGGTGTTATTTCACCTTTTAATTTTTTATGAAACGGTGAACTTACTCTTTAACACCAGACAGCTATATACCCAGTTGCATTACATATGAGGGAGCTTTGTTGCATGCCAAATGATTCTGTTCAGCCAGTCTTGTGATTTGGCACACCTGTCCCCACTCTACTTGCCTCCGTGAGTGATGAGTTGGCAGCCGGTGTAGCGGTCCGGGAATTTGAAATCCCCACTCTTCTTTCTCTTCATTTGGTAGGGCTTCCGGGACAGATCAGTGATTCTGATTGGTCAGCGCCGGGTTGGTTGCATGGACATTGACAGCTCATCACCCACCGAGGTAAGTACAGAAAGGACTTGGGAGTGGAGGGTGTTATTTCACCTTTTCATTTTTTATGAAACGGTGAACTTACTCTTTAACGCCAGACAGCTACCGGTATATACCCAGTTGCATTACATATCAAGGAGCTTTGTTACATGCCAAATGATTGTGTTCAGCCAGTCTTGAGATTTGGCACGCCTGTTTAGCTTCAAGTGGCATTATACTCACTTTTTACAAAATTAGTGCCCGGCAGGGTTTTTATGACAGAGACCCTATCGGTCTCTTCTGTCATAAATGCTTTCCCCTGCCTGTCCGCTGTCATGTACACTGAGCCACGCATGCACAGCTCAGCATACATTCACGGAACCTGCTCTGTGCCATAATGATGCGACTCCCACGCACATGCAATTAAAGCAGCTGAACAGATGGAACCTGGAAGGAAGACTGGGCAAACATGGAAGCACCTGGGACCAGCAGGAGCGCTGACGGTGCTACACTGGAGGGCTTCCTTTGTCTAGCACATTATGGCATACATCTGCAGGGGGCCTGGTTAAAAAAAAAAATGTTAACAGTGTTTAATACCACTTTATAAAATATTAACCTCTTCCTGCCCACCCAGGCATCCCTTTAAATAGTTCTGAATGCCTGGGGGGGTGGAAAGGATTGGCGACTGCGTGACCACAGTCACAGTGGTCATATGGTTGGAAGCCAACCCTACCAGCGACTGATCTTTAGACCGCAGGGGCAGACTGACCATTTGGAAACTCGGGCACTCTCCGAGGGCCCAGGGTCAGTAGGGGGCCCGATGAGATGCCCTTGGTACCTTTTTCATAGGCTTTTTTGAGTTTGGGCAAGGACACAGGGGCCCCATGATCCCGTATTGCCCGGGGGCGGTTGGCTCTGAGGAAGAGGCAAGTCCTGGAAACGCGTCAGCCTTTTGGATGTCTAAACTCCCTATTGCGGACTGTTACTTAGCGCGATGTTGACCCAGCTGTTCTTTATGATGTGCCTTGACTATATTGTCGTTTGTGAGTACAACACATACTTTATTTTTTATTAAACATTTTTTTGGTAATGCACTAGGCCTGTGCACTCTCTGTTTTGTCTTTCCTCATTGCCCGGGGGCCACATGAGTTGTCAGTCCGCCCCTGTTAGACCGAGAACTGTTTTTGGCAGCTTGGTCTTTGTGCTGGGAGCATGCAGTGAGTGCGTTCTCAGCACATAAACACTGACCTCCCAGTGACACATATGTGTGGTGCATGAGCATTAAAGCCCATCCTTTTTCCACCACCCATGTGAGTTGGGCAGTCGTAAAGGGGTTAAGCCAGGGGTGGGCAACTGTGGCCCCCCAGCTGATGGTGAACTACAAGTCCCATCATGCCTCTGCCTTTGGGAGTCATGCTTGTAACTGTCAGTTTTGCAATGCCTCATGGGACTTGTAGTTCTACAACTGGAGAGCCACAGTTGCCCACCCCTGGGTTAAGCCAATCACATTCAGATAAATACTCAAATACATAAAAGGCATTTTACATGTTTTCCTGTGTTGTTCTGAACCGTCTCACCTGAATGTTGTCAAAGGAGGTCTTGTTGGTAACATCATACAGCAGCAGCAGAGCTGGAGAGACAAAAACAAGGAGATTCAATTTCAGGCAAGTGTTGGGTCTGATCTATTAATCTAATTTAGTCCCCCGCCTGAACCTTCCCCATCTACTGAATTAAAAATAGCTTTCTCTTCTGTAGACATGTCTGCCTTAAAGAGGCCCTGTCAACTTAATGCCAGCCATATGTTTAGGTCTCATTCAAATAGGTGTACCGTGTTAGCAACATGGGGGATGCACAATTGGGATGCAGTAGCTGCGCAGACCCAGTCTCTGTTCACAATTTGACATCTATGCGGGTGCATGGTTCAAATCGCACACTGTCTGTATTCAGGGCCA